ATCTCCGTGCCCTGGTACCTGGGGCTCATGTTCCGGACCAGGAAGGCAGACGGCGTGCTGATGGAGGCCACGGCGGGCGTGTCCTCCAGGCTCCACCTCCAGGTGAGTGAGAACCGCCCCCTGGGCCCTGCGGGGCAGGTGCAGCTGAGTGACGCCACCCCAGAAGCCCGCCCGAGGGAACCTCGGCCCTCCACGTCCTGCACCGGCCCGGCGGGGTCTCCGTGTGAAGGGGAGGACCGTGCCTGCTTTTTCCAGCGGCTCATATCAGTGAAAGGTGCAAGGGATGCAGCGTGCAGCCACGTGCCCCCAGGGGGCCCCTTGCCAGCCCCCTCCCCTCCTTCCTGCCCGGGGGGACGGGGGACGGGCAGGATTGGGTAGACCTGGTGGCCTGGCTTGTCCGGCGTCAGCCACAGTGAGGTGTAGACAGCAGCTCCGGGTCTGGGTGTTCGCGACCAGAGCGGGTTGTGAGCACCTTCAGGTGGAAGTAACAGGTCCCCGCCGACTTTTTTCCAGGTGGCGGCACTCGGCCAGAAGTTCCCTAAAAACTGAATCACCTCACACGTTGCTTCTCTCGATCGCTTTGGTCTTAACTTCTTTTTTTAAATTTAAAACATCAGATAAGCAGCAGAGTTCCTGAAATGTTTAAAAGATTATTTTAATGCATCGTGTTCTCTAGTGTTCCATGTGTCACAAATAGTCCCCCAGCACCTTCTCGGCTCCACACACGTCTCATCTGAGGACTGCGAAAGGCCCCTTTAATTCACGAGCCACGCCCTGGTCTTCCGTGGCCGCCCTCTGCGTCCACCTGCCCGGACTGGAGGCGAGACGGGGACTTGTCGCCCTCACGGGAGGCCTGGGGTTTTGAGGTGTCTGAGAGCCCAGGAGACACGGCTGTGCATGGTGGCCGAGGGAGCCCAGGGTGTGGGCGGCGGGCTTGCCCGGCCAGGCCCCGGGCTGAGCGCTCGTCCTGCCCTCACGTGTCCAGGCGCTTGGCCTGCGGTGACAGCGGACAGACCCTTCTCCTATAAACCTCGCTACCTCTGACCCTGGTCACATCCGGGTCACCCCAGGCGATTCCCCCTCCTAGAGAGTCCGATGCAGGACACTTCTCAGACCTGATTCGCCTCCCTGACAAGTGGCCTGTGGCAATCGCGCCCAGGCTGGGGACTGTGTCTAGAGTCGAAAGAATTCCATAACCGGCTGTTTTTCGCTACCTTCCTTCCAGGCTTTCTTTCTTGTGTAAGCGTGCGTGTGCACATGTGTGTGCACGCATGTCTCCATGCACCCGGGCACACCCTACCTCTGAGCAGCGCTGACCCCCTGCCCATGGGTTACGCATCACGTCCCATCTGTGCTGGCCCAAGGCCGCTCCCTCCCTCCGTCTGGGCAGCACATGGAGTGTCCCACCCACTCAGGACTCCCCCACCCCCTACTCCCCCGTCCAGCCTCCTCATTGCCTCAGGGCTGGGTGTCACTGAACACCCCACTGTCACCCAGGCCAGCCTGCTCTAGGGGTAACATCTGCCGCAGTCGGGAAGTTCCTCCCACAGCTGGCCCTGGTCCCCTCTGCTGTGACCCTCACGTCCGTCCGCGCCGAGCTGTTGCTCACTGCTTTTTACTCCCTGGGGCCCGGGACTTCCTGTTCTGCCTGGTGCGGAGCAGGCTTAACTCCCAGCCAGGGCAGGCTGCGCTGGGGTCAGAGACAGTCAGAGGTTAGATGGCCCTTAACGGCGCGTCCACTCAAATCTCTCATTTTGGGGGGCGGGGAAACCGAGGCCTAGAGACTCTGAGCTCCGGGTCCCATGGTTCACTCGTCGCCCAGGTCCTGCGGCATCCACAGTCCCTCCCCCATGGCCCCTGTGGACCACCCATGTGGAGACAGCGTGTGGTGGAGGCAGAGGGAGGGGACAGAGGCCCTGCCCAGCACCTCCTGTCAGCTCCCTGTCAGAGGGCAGTTCAGGCAAGACCCAAGGGCTCCCAATGGGCTGGCAGGTGTCAGACTTGTCAACAGATCGGTTGGGACAGGCCCAAGGAGGCTGCGGGCCCAGAGCCTGGACAAGCCTCCTTTTCTTCACTCATCTGTCCCCTCATCCACGTCCCTGCTCAAGGCCACCTCCCAGCACAGACCCGTCAGGTCATACTGAAGAGGTGCAGTGTGAATCCAGGGTGATGACCGCGGTCATTGTTCTGCCCTTATTAACTTGTCATTTCATAAATCTACCTGGCAGCCCAGGATCCAGCTCTGGGCCAAAACTTGGCAAGCACAGCTCTGCCTGGGAGATGGTGTTTTGCTCTGTGGTTGTTTCACTGTTGGAACAAATTAAATTGGCTGTTTTCGATTCAGGTGACGAATCGGAGCTTGCACGTTGTCATTTGGCAGTTGGGTGTCTGTAGGAAAAAAGTATGTTTTCAGTAGGAACAGCCCTGAAAGCCACAGGCTCCCGTGTTGTTTGAGCAATTACGTTATGGGTGGCTAATCCAAAATTAAGGTGTTTTTGTTTTTTGTTTTTGCTAGGGACTGTGGCCAGCCCTTCTCTGTGAAAGGCTGGGTGGCAAAGGGTGGTGGTCTTGGCGGGGATGCTCCAGACCCTAGGGGTGACCTCGAAGGCCACCCCAGGGCATTTCCCGAAGGCCGGTCAGCTGGTCGCTGCAGGATTGTCCTGGCTGGTTTCCACGTGCCGCGTTGGGAGGGCAGGGCAGCCGTGAACCGTCCTTGGCCGCCGCAGCAGGCCAGACAAGCTATGTAGTCACCCTCCAGCCCACGCATTTGGGTAATTGCTTCCAGGCGCCCTGAATCCGCCTGCATTGTCAAGTGGGATAACGTGGCTATTGTTGAACATCTCTCCTAAATCCGGTGACAGATCCAAGGTGGCAAGCAGTTACTGCGTGGTCCTGGGGTTCATCCTGTAGGTATCGCTTTTGTGTGTAGACAGATGTCACTTTTATTGTTGATCTGCTGGCTTCGGGTTTTGTCAGCCGGGACAGTGAAGGAGAATGGTGAGGGAAATTAATTGACTTCAATGTCTGGAACAAAAGAAAACAAAATCTATAAAAGTTAAAAATTATTTTCTTCAATCGACTCTGCATGGAGACTAAATCCCAAATGTATCATTGGTCGTGTTATCTTTTTGATCAATGAAGAATATTTTTTGTTATCGTGAGATCTTCTTTGACCCACGGGGTAGTTTAATAAGTATATTTTTGAATAGCAAGCAGGCAGCATTTTCTAGTTTATCATTTTGTTATTGTTTCAGGCGTAATTGCAGGTCAGAATGTACGATCTAGGGTTGCGGACCTTGTCAGTGTGTTCGGGCCTGCTTTGCCGTCCAGCGTTGAGTCATTGCGTGACAGTCCCAGCGGTGCTTGAATGTGTGCCCCGCAGATGCGTTCTGTAGTGTTCCGATGCGTCGCGTAGGTGGAGCTCGTCGGTTGTGGCGTTCAGATAGTCTGTCATAGTTTGTTTGTTTTGTCTGCTTGTTTTCTCAGTTACTGAGAGAGGTGAGCTAAGAATCTCCAGCCTTGATTGGAGACTTACCTATCCTTTAAGTTCTGTCCAGTTTTGCTTTGTAGGGTTTGAGGCTACGTTATTAGGCGTTTATAGATTTAGAATGGTTTTCTCTTCCTGGAAAGCAGACCGTTACCATTATGAAAATCCTCCTTATCTCTGGTAATTAATTTCTCCTTAAAGTCTGCTTTGTCTCATGTTACGATAGCTATGCCGGCCTCGTTTGGGTTGATGTTTACATGATGTATCTTTTTCTAACCTTTTACTTTGAACATTTCTGTATCTTTATGTTTTACGTGTGTTTCTTGTAAGCAGTGCATTAATAGTTGTTTTTTATTTAACTATTAATTGAAATTATCTTTAAACGCGAGTCCCTTAGGTTAGTTACAATGTTCTTTTCTCATTTTCTTCCATGTATTTAAACATGGTAGCTCGAACCTTATCTCACAAAATGCAACATTTACTGCCAAAAATGGAGTCTCAAGGTCACCTGAATCTGTTTCTTGGAAAGTTCCGTGGCTCCCATTATTCTCATTTCTACACCGGATGATTCTGTTTTCTAAATTCCCGTGGGTTTGTTTCCACTGGTTTTTGTTCCACCGGTTCTTGGATTTCAAGCACGTTGTCCTGCGTCCTTGGCTACTCGGTTATTTTCGATCGCGTGCTGGGCATCATCTTTTAAAAGTAGAGAGAATTCAAAGCTAGAATGGTGATGTCGCCATCCCTCGCGTTTGCTATGACGGGCAGTCCCGACCCTGGGCCGGCTGCGAATTCTGCCTTTTGTCCTCCCAGCCCGTCGAGCCTGGAAAGCTTTGCTCAGCTTTCGGCCTCGGCCGTGTCTCCCAGAACCAGCTGGCGACCGTAGGCGAAGGCAAACCCCGAGCGCGTTCTGGTTTCTCCCTGGTTGTGTCTCTGTAACTCTGCGGGGCCTCGAGTCCCTCCGATGCCTTCGGACAGGTGCTTTAACACCTACTCTCCTAGTTCTCAGGAGGAGGTCTGTTCACACCACTCAGTCCTTCATGAAGGGGAAATAAGATCGTGGCTACATTTTAACACATGAATGTCTCAGGACGGTTACAAAGCTGATTTTTTTCCATACGTATATTTAAACATGTGGCCTGAGTCTTACAAAGTGTAACATTTACATCCAAAATAAGAGCCCAATAGTCACCTGAATCTGTGGTTGTCTCAATACTGAGGTCAATGGGCATCACTCTCCTTGATCTCTGTCAATATTTGATGCTTCTTACTATAGAGAAAGGCATAAAATTCTGAAGAGTGTTACTGGCAACGAGAAATTAAACTTGGCCTAATTTTTAAGTCCATCTTCGACGCAGCGCCCTGCGGTACGTCTGCTTGCGTGGCTTTGTTATTTAAGTGGCTGTGAAGTATTTTCTGTTCTGTTGTCATCACGTTGATTGGTAGGTTTGGTTCTTCCGGTTCTGCAGATTCTAAACAACTACATTCAGTTTGAGGTGTCCCATGGGCCCTCAGATGTGGCGTCCATAAAGCTGTCCAGGTCGCGTGTGACTGACGGGGAGTGGCACCATCTATTGATAGAACTGAAGAGCGCCAAGGAGGGCAAAGACATCAAGTACCTGGCAGTCATGACCTTGGACTATGGGATGGACCAGGTAAGCTGGTACCTGTACCCTTTTTGGAACAGACCCCTTCATGGGGTCCGTGGGAGAACAGAGTGACCTTCCGTGTGTCAGGGCCCACCAGAGCCCTCGGGGGTTGGGGATGCACGTTCTGGGCACACTCCCCCGCCCCCCACGTTCCGGTCTCACACTCCACCTCATGCTGAGGTTGCTGGCGTCTGCCCTCGGTCCGCCTTCTGGGCGGTCAGCTCCTGGAATCAGGACCTGGCCGTCGTCCATCTGTGTGTCCCATCTTGGAGCCTCTGGCACCTTCCACAGCGGTTTCTTTAGCAAAGCCGTCTCGACTGTGCTCAGGGCTGTGCCTCTGGGGCACAAAGATGCATGACACATGGGTCCTTGGCCTCCAAGTAGACGGTGCATGCAGGTGAATGGGCAGTGAGACCCAGGTACCAGAGAGGGCCGTGCGACCGCAGAGAGGCGGCTTGTCCCAGATGGGCAGGTGGCGTCCCGGGCAGGGTGCGCTCGGAGTGCTCACCAGACCACACGACGTCCGCAGTGCGTGGCCGTTTCCACAGGATGCCCACACACCTGGGGGTGATTCCTCAGCTCCCCTGGTGTCCAGGCTCCCCTGACGCCTGGTTCTGAGAGTGAACGGCTGTCGTGCCCCCTGGGCGCACCTTCCGGGCCCGCGGTCCGGCCGAGACCTCCTCAGACCCCCCAGCAGTGGGCGTCGTCTCCCGTTTGCCCCCATCCTCCTGGTCTGCGCGGCTTTTCGCACAGCGGCTCGTTGGTGGAGCCCGCTACGGAGGTGGGAGTGTTGCCCGTGTACCCCCCGACCTTCTTCACTGGCTGGGACGTAGACCTGTGTCCCCTGATGCCCCGCCTGTCACACGCAGACAGCCGTGTTCCCCTCCGAGGCTGAGCCAGGCCTGCCCCCTGTTGAGAGGCCCAAACGCGCTCGGGAAGATGTTTCCAGAACGGTGGGTGTCGCTCTCCCCTTCACAGGACACGGTGCAGATCGGGAACCAGCTTCCGGGATTGAAGATGAGAAGTCTCGTGGTGGGGGGCGTGTCCGAAGACAAGGTCTCCGTGCGCCGCGGTTTCCGGGGCTGCATGCAGGTAGGGCGGAGCGCGTGGGCCCCCACCTCGCAGCCGGCTCGGGCGGCCACAGCTGTGGCCACTGGTCAACCTGTGAGTTGTCAGTAAACGGGTGGCTTATCCGGGAGCTCAGCCAGCCTCGTCGGTCCCGTTCCCAGCCGGACCCGCCCTCCCCGTCAGCCACCGACAGCTCTGCCTTCATGGTGTGTCCAGAATTCACCCTTTGCCGCTTACACCAGCCCGTGCTCACCTGAGTGGGTGTCACACCTGTCTCGTAGTCTAGGTGTCGTGGCAGCAGCTGAGTGAGCTGTTGATAGAGTGGCTCAGCTCACAGCCACTCATGTCTCGGGCCCCCCACTGCGGGAATGAACCCCTCTGTTCCTTCCCCTCGCCGCCCCCAGCCGCCCACCTGGCCTGAGCCCCTCCCCCACGTCCGCTGCGCTCCAGCCCCGGGGTCTCCTGCCCTGGCGCTCACCAGTGTGTCCCCGCCATGGCGCCTTGTGCAGTGGCCCCTCTTCCCGGATGCCCTCGTACAGCCACCCTCCCCTGTGAGCGGCCCTGCCCGGCGTCGTCCGCCATCATGCCTTCCATGACCCTCGCTCATTTTGCCTCGTGACACGCGCTGGGATTACTCGAACGTGGAAACGTTCCGGCTTCTTTCCCGGGGGGCCCGCCCCTGCCCGGAGCACGACCTGGTGGAGGCGGAAGTGACCTCATTCCTGCCGTCACCCCACTTCTCCTCCTGTCCCGCCAGTCCCAGCTTCGTGGACAAATGAGGTGTCGCTTTAGAGACAAGGGACCAGACAGAGCTTGGGTTCCTTAATCCCTGGTTACGTTTCGGGGTCCCTCCAGCCTTGAGGCCCTGGGACCGAGTCTGGCTGCCCTTTGTTTACACAGGGAGTGAGGATGGGGGAGACGTCCACAAACATCGCCACGCTGAACATGGACGATGCCCTCAAGGTCAGGGTGAAGGACGGCTGTGACGTGGAAGACCCATGCGCCTCCAGCCCCTGCCCGCAGCACAGCCGCTGCCTCGACGCCTGGGACACTTACACCTGCGTCTGCGACAAAGGTGGGCCCGCGGCACCCGCACCCCCTCTTTCCTGATAGCTGTCAGTGGGGGTGACACCTGTAGCGTTTAAAATGCATCGAGGAAAGCTAAGTGGGGCGCCGGCTTCCCCACCAGTTCTCACGGGTCCGTGGAGCCCTTGGCCTTGGTCTGTAAGGAGTGGGCCCTGTCTTCCTGAAGTGCACCCTGGCCGTGCCCTTTCTCGGTTGACGCCAGCCAGACCCTCCAGGCTCCATCCTCAAGATGGCAGGAAGAATTAGGGAAAGGCACACACGTTTTAAAAAGTCCACATTCAGTGTTGGTTCCTGAATTTTGAGCTGCTGCAGCCATTCTCAGCTGGCATCTGTCCACCGTGTGTCCTGGGGTGGCCGGGACCCTCTGCCCCGGGGCTCCTGACCTCACGGGGGACCTGGGAGGCCCTCGTCGCTGCCTTTCCAAGGCTGACCCACCAAACGCCCGTTTCCCGTGGCTCCCAGGTGCCCCCGCTGCACCCCTCTGCACCCCTCTGCACAGCAGCCTGGGGGGAGGCGGATGGCCGGGATGTCCCACCACAGGGGGCCCGGCTCCGGGAGTGGACCTGCGGGGCCAGAGGCGGATCTGGCAGGGGGTCACACGCCTGTCCCCGCAGGGTACTTTGGAAGGAACTGCGTGGACGTCTGCCACCTGAACCCCTGCGAGCACGTGGCGACCTGCGTGCACAGCCCCAGCGCCCCGCGTGGCTACGTGTGTGAGTGCGGCCCCAGCCGCTACGGGCCGTACTGTGAGAGCAGGTAGGTGGGTGCCCGCCGCCCCCGGCTCCCTCGCCCTCCCTCATTTAACTCCAAAACACGTATGCGGTGGTTTAAGGACCGATTTCTTTTTTCAAAGTTGGCATGAAATAAACGAGAATCAGTTGGGCGTCTCACACCGACCCCATCTGAGCACGTTTCCACTCCAGACGCACACAACATGTCGCGTTCGCCCAGAGCCCGCCGTGGTCAGGCGGGCGCCAAGGGCGGGAAGCTGGGCACGACGACGGGGAACAGCTAGCTTTCGAGTGGTGTCTGACGTGCGTGTAAGCGCTGGTGTAGTTGGTCAGGGAGCCCAGAGCCCAGGTGTGTAGTCACCGCAGGTAAATCACTTCCTCGCAAACGGGGCTTTCCGGAGGTGATGCGTTCCCGCCGGTGGCCCTTGGCCCGTGCCGGCCGTCCCGGTGCAGGAGCCCTGCAGGCTCCAGCTCTCTCTTTGTCGTCTTTCCTCTTCGTCCTTCGGGGACCGGGACGTGTGCTGCAAAACCACTTGTGACTGGAGGCAGCTGTGCCCTGGGCTCGTGATCTCACGGGAAGACGGGCGCCACGTGGCTGCCGGATGGGAGGTGGGGAGGCCCAAGGGGAGAGCGTTTCAGGGACAGACAAACCAACGGGGCTGAGCCGAAGAGCAGACACAGGACGAGGCCAGCCTAGAGGCTCAGTGGGGCATTCCTAGGGGCCCGTACTATCCTGAGCGCGTCCTACGCTGGGGAGGCAGGCGGGCCTGGGAGGAGGCCTGTCCTGTAGCTGGGAACAGAGCTTGGCTTTGTGGGGCCACGGGGCCAGCAGAAAAGCGGCAGGGTCAGGTCCAGGTCTCAGAGGCCTCTGGCTCCCTCATGGAGTGTGGTTGGAGCAGGCAGAAGCTGGACACAGGGTGACCAGCTCGGAGGCTGGTGCAGCGTCCCCAGGCCTGGCGCTGCAGGCCTTCGGGACTGAAGAGGCGGTGAGGAGAAGGGGTTCGCCAAGGCCCTGGGGTCCCCACTTGTAAATGTAGTTCCGCGTTCACCAGACCAGAGCCCCCGGGCCCAGGAACCTGCCTGGCCATGTTCGTGGCCTTGACGTGAACAGAGCTGGTACTTAATCATTGCTCGTGGGTGAGTGAAGGGTGTCTGAGGTGACGGTGGACGCACAGAATGTCATTAGCTGGGTAGTAAGCGCAGGGTGGCACTTCATTTGAGGGGCCTGAGGGATACTTGGGGGAGCACCCCGCAGGCAGGTGGGTCTGCAGGTAATGCTCAGGTGAACCATCGGGTCAGGAGCAGAGGCAGAGCGACAGTGACAGGCAGCAGCTGACACCTGGGCGGGGCGGGCCTGGCCTTGTCAGCTTCGACGTTGCTCCTTTCCGGGTTTGCTGGCTCTGCCAGGCCTGGCTCCCGAGTCAGGACTGGGCGGGTCCGATGATCCTCAGCCCACCGGGTCCAGCCTGTGGCTGCACGGAGCCGATGAAGGCGCATGCCACGTCCGTGGCAAGGCTGCTCTGCATGTCTGTGGGGACCTGGGGACCTGGGCGCTGCAGGAGCCTCGTTCAGCACCCGTGAGCCGGCAGGTGCCCTGGGTCCCGGGAGAAGCTTGCCCAGGGCGGCCAGGCCCCGGCTGCTCTGTGTGGGGCTGGGGTCCTAAAAGGCCAGCCCGGCGGTGGCGTCAGGTATTACTGTGTCCCCGTGAGCCAGGCCTCGTGGTGGGGGTGCTGCGGCAGCGTGAGCATCGTGACGTCAAGCTAATAGCAGCCTGGGCAGGGTCGTCACCTGCGTCTTCCAGGTGGAAGAAAGAAATGAGTGAACGCGTTGTTGAAAAGCAACAGGTCTGCAGGCGGAACCCTTCCAGATGTGGGGCTCCTCAAGGCTGGGAGCAGGACAAGAAATTCTTAAGGGTTCCAGGGGTGGGGGCGAGCGGAGGGGAACAGAGGCCCCCGGAGCGGAGGAGGTGCCCAGACCCGGAGCAGCCGCGGCCCCAGGCGTCCCGCGGGCTCGCTGTCCTCGGAGAAGGACGGTCACGTGCAGCCTCCACCCGCCACCTCTTCTTCCCAACAGGATCAACCTTCCGTGCCCCAAAGGCTGGTGGGGGAACCCCGTGTGTGGGCCTTGCCACTGTGCTGTCAGCAAAGGCTTCGATCCCGACTGCAACAAGACCACCGGGCAGTGCCAGTGCAAGGTGAGGCCTGGCCCGCAGGTGGACGGCAGGGACGCGTCCCCCACCGTCTCCACGGGCGCCGAGCCCGGGGAGATGGCCGCGCGCGCAGGCACACACACGCACCGTCCCTGCACTCGTGTCTCTGGTCCTTTTTAGGACAAGTAGGCAGGGGCCGTGATAGGCTTTTGCTATAAATGAGGGAGGAGGTGTCCTCCTGGAGAGCACGCCTGCCTTGTCTGGCAGCGTGGGCGGAGGGCGGAGGGCAGCGTGGAGAGGCCCAGAGGCGGCCGGACACGCAGGAAACGTCCTCCAGGAGTAGGGCCTGCACCGGCGTCCCCAGCCCCCCGCACTTCTGGCGTTTGCAGGAGAATCACTACAGGCCCCCCGACACGGACGCCTGCCTGCCCTGTGACTGCTTCCCGCAAGGCTCCCACAGCCGCACCTGTGACGCAGACACCGGGCAGTGTGCCTGCAAGCCCGGCGTCATCGGCCGCCAGTGCAACCGCTGTGACAACCCCTTCGCCGAAGTCACCACACTCGGCTGCGAAGGTCTGTGTCGCCGCTTGACCCCCGACGGGCTGGGTCGCGGATTGGGGGCGTGTGCGTGTGTGTGTGTGTGCGTGTGCGTGTGCAGCACATGCTCTGGGGTTTGGGGAGCACTCAGCACCCCCACGGTCTGCCTGTGCCCACCTGGCCCTGGGGGATGGCAGCGCAGGAGCCCGGGTCACGCCCCACCCCGTCCAGCCCTGCTGCAGGAGGTTGCGAGGGGTCCGAGGGGTCCGGTCTTGCTGGGGGCGGGGCCTCCAGGGAGGAGTGTGGCCGTGCCGGCTAAGGGTCTCCTCTCCTCTGCGTCCCAGTGACCTACAGCGGGTGTCCCAGGGTGTTTGAAGCTGGCATCTGGTGGCCGCAGACCCAGTTCGGGCAGCCGGCCGCGGTGCCGTGTCCCAAGGGATCCGTGGGTAAGTACATGCCCTGGGCTGTGGCGTCTGTTCCCGGCGGGAAACCAGACAGAGGCACATGACAAGCGTCTCCGCCACTCAGTGTGGGGTTCTCTTTGTGAAGTGGGGTCGGGGCGACGCCGCCCGGGAGGGGTGTCGGGTCCGGTGAGAGGGCGCTGGGCACGCGCGTGGCCCGGCCGCTCAGGGCAGGTGTGGTGCGCGGGGCTTGCACTGGTACGTGGCGAACGATTAGGCTGGTTTCTTTTCTCATGGACTTGCCCAGATGTCCGCGTTGCTGGGCTCAGCCAACTGTGGACGTCAGGCGGCATAGCGGTGGCCCCAGGCCTGAGACCAGAGTGCCCGTGGGGGCTTCGTGGCCGTGGCAGCTGCCTGGCCCTGGGCTAGCGGGGGGTGGGCACCACGCCGGGCTTGGGGACACCTGGACAGACGCGTGTGGATCGGCGGTTGGGATTTCAGGCCTCACGAGCCCGCCGTCTGTCCCCAGGCAACGCGGTCCGCCACTGCGGCGGGGAGAAGGGCTGGCTGCCTCCCGAGCTCTTCAACTGCACCAGCGTCGCCTTCCTGCAGCTCAAAGCCATGGTAGGGGCCCGCGCGGGGACAGGGTCACCGGGACGGGGGGCGTCCAGGCAGCCGGGCCCTGCTGGCCAGAGGCCGGCGGTGGCTCAGGATCGTCTGTCCTGGGCGCCCGCGGCCGGACCCTTCTCTCTCCCCTCGGGACCCGCTCTGCATCTGGCCCCGCCAACCCCGAGTGCCCAGGTCCGGCCACGTCCTCCCGTCTCGCCCTGTCCCCGGCGCCCACACGCGCTCGCTTGTGCCCCGGCGTGTGCCTCTCCAAGCGCTTTCTAGCCGACCGCCCCCCGTGTTCCGCGCCGTCATCGGCCAGAGCTCGTTTTTGGATTTCTCGTGCTCTGCCCTGACGAGGAAGCCCGCCCCGGGCAGCGGTGGGCGTGAGCGGGAGGGGCCCCGCACGGCCGCGGGGGCTCTGCAGACACCGCGTTGGCTCCCTCGTTTCAGAACGAGAAACTGAGCCGCAACGAGTCGCGGATGGACGGGGACGGGTCCCTGCGGCTGGCCCGGGCGCTGCACAACGCCACGCGGCACACGGGCGTGCTCTTCGGCGACGACCTGCGCACCGCCTACCAGCTGCTGGCCCGCGTCCTGCAGCACGAGAGCCGCCAGCAGGGCTTCGAGCTGGCGGCCACGCAGGACGCCAACTTCCACGAGGTAGGGGGCAGCGGGCGCGTCTGGGGACGGCAGTGAGCTTGGGGGCGGCCCTCCTCCCAGCAGAACGTCGCCTCTCGGTGGGGGGCCTGGGCCAGTGCCGTGGCCGGTGATGCCGATGACGAGTATCAGGAGCGTTCGAGAAGGGCGCGTGCGGGTTGTCGTGACGACAGTGCCGGGTGCCGCCAGCAGCTGCGCGTTCGGTGTGTGCCGTGTGGCTCATGTGAACTGGCTCGTTTGCTCCGCACGTGCACGCACCCTGGGGCGCAGTGCAGCCATCACCCCTTTGGCAGGGAGGGCACCTGAGTCACAGCGCGCCAACGGCACACAGCCCTCGGAGTCCCTGCCCCCCACGTGCCCCGAGGCGCAGCTTTCAGAAGCCCACGCGCTCTCGTGCACAGGCCCCCCGTGTTACGTCAGGTTAAGTGATCCGTCCGTAAGAAGCACGTTTAGAAGACCGTTGAGGAAACTCACTCCTAGGCCTGCTGTCGGAGGGCAGTGCCACCTCGCTTCCTCGACTCTCCTCTCGAGGCGTCCCCGTCAGTGCAGCGGCTCTGGGGTGGCCTCCCCCTCCCCGTCCGTGCAGAGCAGAAGGGCAGGGGTCCCCTCTCCTGCCTTCCGGTCCAGGCCCGAGTGTTTGGCCTGAGGGAGTTTGTTCCCACTTTGAGGCTTTGCAAACAGAAGCTTCTCCTCCAGATTTCTGGCTTGGGCTGGGGTCCCTGAGCCCCCACGGACGGGCACACGTCTGCCTCATGCTGCGGGGGCAGCAGCGTCACACGGGCACCTGCAGCGTGTCCTCGGCTGCCTTGCTGCCCGCTCAGTGCCCACACCCGGTGTGCCTGGCGCAGCTGGGTTCTCACGTGACCAGGGCGTCTCCCCTTTGCGTCTCGGGGTGCACATGCAAACCCCAGCAGGCTTCTCCCGGACACACAGCTGCCTACCTCTGAGCTGCAAACACCGGTGGTCTCCTCCCGCTGGCCCCCTGTTAGCCAGGCCCCTACAGGCCAGCGCACGTGCAAGCCGAGTGCTGTCTGTCTGTCTGTCCACCAGGACATCGTCCGTGTGGGCAGCGCGCTCCTGGCCCCAGGCACCCGGGCCGCGCGGGAGCCCGCTCCTGGCCCCAGGCACCAGGGCTGCGTGGGAGCATATCCAGCGGAGCGAGGGAGGCACGGCCCGGCTGCTCCGGGGCTTCGAGGCCTACTTCAGCAACGTGGCACGCAACGTGCGCAGAACCTACCTGAGGCCTTTCGTCATCGTCACTGCCAACATGAGTAAGGGCCGCAGGCTGGCGCGGGGGACAGGCGTGCCCCACAGGAGGGACCCCAGGTCTGTCTCGGGTGTGTGGCCCCAGTGTGGCCATCGCCTGGGGAGTGGTCAACAGCTCCGGCCTCTGCTTCCTCATCCATGAGATGGGGAGATGGGACCCTCCTCGTTCAGTGTGTCCAAAGCTGATCAGAGAGACACACACGTCATTCCCGGGCCCAGGAAGTCAGGGACAGGCATGAGCGGAGGTGACAGGGAGGCGAGGTGCCACAGGCATGAGCTTGGTGGCCCGCGGGCCTTTCAGAACTGGGGCGTGAGGCTGTTTAGGGAAGGGGCATGGTCTCCACTCACTCAGAGAGGCCAGGCCCACAGAGAGTCAGGAACAATGGCCGGGCACCGGGGTTGGAGGGTGGGACTCCACCCTGCCTGGCCAGAGCCAGAGCTGTCCATAGAGCCAGCGCCTGTGCACCAAGTCCCCAGAGCCCAGGACACACTGCTCTGGGGTCAGGGCTTCGCAGGGAGAGAGTCTGGAGGTAGAAGCAGCTGCCACGTCGCCCAGACAGAGCTGGCAGAGTCCGCGGGGGCCTGTCCTGTGAGGTGGCTCTTTTTCTCCTGCGAGTATTTACTCAGCCCCATGTGGGGTGACCGGGCAGAACCCAGGGATTGTCCCTTCCCGGGGGCGGCTCCTGGATTACGCAGTCATCACCCAGAAGCAGCGTCCCTCCGGGTGGGCACTGGGGGCATGCACGGCTCACGCGTCGGCCGCTGCCGGGCTCGCCTCCAGACCCCGAGCCTGACGGTTCTCAGGCGCCACCCACGTCCAGCGGCTGGACTTGCCACGTGTCCCTCCACCCCCCCACTTCCCGTGCAGGGGTCCCGCTGTGCAGCCTCAGGGCTGGAGGACCTGGGGAGACACAGGTGGCTTCTGGTCTAAGGGATGTGGGTCCCGCGGGAGGGGCTGCGAGCCGCGTGACGGAAGCCACTGTCCCCACAGTCCTCGCCCTGGACGTCTTCGACACGTTTAACTTCACGGGAGCCTGGGTGCCACGGCTCGAGGACATCCGTGAAGACTTCCCGAAGGAGCTGGCGTCCTCTGCCTTCTTCCCAGCCGACTTCTTCACACTGCCCGAGAGAAGAGGTAAAGCCCCCTCGAGGCCCGGTGCTGCCCTCAGGGGACTCCCGCCCCTGGGGGGCCCCCGGAGGGTCCCCACCGCAGAGTGTGCGCGCTGGTCGTCCTCGCTGTGCAGTGAAAAGCTGCTACGCAAGTAGGGAAAATTCTAGCATCCACCCCCCCAAAAAACCAGACTGGGAGCGGCACATCTTCACTCCTGGCTGGGGTCACGGTACCCCTGGCTGAAACATTTTGAATCGTCTTGAAGTGTTTCTCGCAGATCCACCCCAGCTGCTGAAAATGTCTCAAAACCAGGGGGACTGGAAAACGTGAACTTCTGTAACGAGCACTTTAAAGCTGGGCGCACTTTCAGCGAGTTGGGTTTGTCAGCTCTGGGATGCGGGCGCCTCAGCGGCCTGCAGAGAGGGTTTCCCGACGGTGGGTTGGCCGCCTCGCGATCGGTTTTTGCCACTGGGCCGTGGCCGGCTCACCTCTGCCCCCCCAGGCAGCAGCTGCACAGACGCCCACACGCCTGGGCACGGGGACCTAACAGCAGCTCTCGCTCGGACTTCGTCAGTGTTTCTGCTTCTGAACTGACCGCAGGGTCATCCTCGCCCTCCGGCCCGTGGCCTCGGAAGTGGACGTGCAGGAGCGAGTTTGCTTTAGGAAACCCACGGGAGAAGCTTCCAGCACCTGCTTCTCTGCTCTCCTGGGACCGTCCCCACTGACACCGGGTCCCCTCAGGCCTGTACGCAGCATCATAGTCAACGCGGTGGTCCCTTAACCCTCTGGAGTGTCGGCCAGCGCAGTCAGCACGGAGCAAACCCCACCGATTCATTTACTGCTGAGAAGATGCGGCCCCTGGCTTCTGTGACCCCTCATCCCACAAACGCCTGACTCGTCCCGTGGCGGGGAAGCAGACAGGAGACCCCTTGGGCTCAGCAGGTGTAGGGGGGGCCGTGTGGATGAACGTCCAGGAGGTGGGGGCCAGGCTGGGCCCCCCG